TCCCCCCTGACAAGTGTGGAGAACCCCCCGGAGAAAAGAATTTCCCCCTGATAATACCATCGCACCACTGCAGCTACTGATGCGTTCTTAACAATCAACTTCCCGGGTGACTCTGATTTTAAACAATATTTGTACAGCCGGCGTCAGGGTGCGATAACTTAGAAAATAGGCCCGATCAAGCAAAATTTTCAATATGTTCATGAATAATTTGGTTTATTTCTGTATTCATGAAAAAAAACCAAAACTATCACATGAAAATTACGTATTTTAGGCTAAAATAATGATGACAAAGAAACGAGGTTATTGATATCTGTATGGAGAGAATAGAATATTCAAAGAATGATGGACGGGACGGAACGTCTGGGGATGCTAGAGAATATGCTGTGATTGCAGAGAAAGCGGCTGGAAGGGGTTGGACAGGACGTCATTACAATGTCAACGGACGATCAAAACTTCAAAGTTTACGTATAAAGTACAGAGAAGTGACTGAGCACAACAACAGAAGCGGTGGAATATTATTCTTGTGTTGTCAAATTGAGGAAAGTGTGAACAAATGATTTATTCCTTGCCTTTTTTTATCTTGCAGTGTGTATAATGTGTCACTACCAGTATTATTATATTGTTGTATTTTAAATTATTGCGGATAACAGAAATGTATAGTATATCCATCTTTTTTGTGCGAAATTTATTTTTAGCTCCGCTCTCTCCAAAATAGTCAATAATGATTGGTCAATTGTTTGTTACCAGGAAGAAAGCATTTGTGCCACAGCTGCTCTGCTGCATCTTTCTGCAGTTATGGCATTGGACAAATTATGGCAAGTTTTTAATTGTTCAATAAGCAATTCCGATCAAATAATAGATTGGTTTCAAACCTGCCATGTTTTAGAACGTGTTTTATTTTAAGCTGAGAATGTTGAACATTTCGACAGTGATTTTTCAACTGTTGTTTTTATCTCAACCACTATAGTGGAAAGTTCTCTTTTATGACATCCAATATACTTGTACACATACACACACCATTTATCCGCCGTGCAGGCTGTGTTTACCGCCTAATTATTCTTGCATTTTATTTATTTTTATTTTCAATGCCTAAAATATTAAATTACCATGTTAATAATACATTGGTTTAAACAAAATTGTTTCGTTTAGAATCCATAAAAGACCTGTGTTTTTCTTAGAGATAAAGCAAGTAAACCCCCACACTTCAGCATTCTCAACAGCCATGTCTTGTAAGGTCATGGCCTAACTCTGTGCCCTTGTGTTCACCGGCAAGGACTTCGTCGAGGTTAATTTAGAACGTTGCATAACGAAGGATTTAAAAATATAGTAAATATAGTATATTATGCTGGTGTATCTTGTAGTATACAAGATTGCAACGTGTATTTTTTCAAACTGATTAATTTTTGAGTAAATCAACCAGAAGTCTGCCGTGGAATGCAATTATTGATGGCTGTCCTTTTGACTTTTCTTAATTCAGAAATAATAATTAGATTGACAATAAATATATCATTTTGATTTATGAATGTTTTTTTTATTTGAGATTACAATATTGTATTTAAACTTCAATGTTAATTGTCTATTGTAGGGTAATATTGAATATAGACATGCAAATGAGGCTATGGCTGACTAACTGACAGGGCATTCTGTTTCAAACGGTGACCATACAACATTCATACCTCAACGACACGTACACATATCAACATGGGAAAGTTAGGGAACAGAGTAGGACTGCTCATTGTGTTCATTGCAATGTACATTGCATACACATCGAGAGATACCTTCGATCCAGGTGAGATAACACTATTACTTTAAGTCCTGTGCATGTATTAATTTGTACAGCATAGTTACGACAATGGTCGGGCTTTCAGAAGACCTTGACATACATCAGCTACGCGTACGTGATATGCGGCGAGTGCATATATAAAGTCAATTGTAAAGTACATTGCCGCTCACTTCAATCTTAAACAATGTTAATTAACATAAATTTCACCTCGTATCCTCAGCCGTTGAAACTCATGCCCACTGTTCTTGACTACGGCGGCAATCTCTGTTTCAATACGTCACAATGTACGTCTTGGGTCGATGCAACAAGTAGCGGTGTAGTGCATTTTCGCTTCGTTGCACACGGGTGCTTGGCATACCTAGCATTAGCGATTTGTATCACGGCAAGGATGCTGCCACAGACAAGAGAACCTGCCATGTCAACACCCCCATCCCACACAAGCATTCTGCTCACACACGTGCGTTGGTCCTCAGAGTATTAACAAAATAGTTCAGCTGCTAGAAATATTAAATGCGTCTAACTTCAATTGTAAGCTCTCCCCATATATAGAACGGCCAAACGCATATCAATTCAGCCAGTCGCATCACAAGTATCCGACCTTGTCCAATAAACAGGTAGCAACTTCTAATACATCGGCTGCTCCAACATTCTTATATAGTTCAGTTATTGCTAAAATATAAAACACTAAATTATGTATTTGATTACTACGCGGCAGCGGAGCAAGAAAGTGTATTCTTGCAAGAAAAAGACATGAAAAGCATTCTATTCTAATATGCAAAACTGGGAGTTAATATATTAGTCACTGCTCGGAGAGAAAACCGACTCAAACAGGTGAGTGATTTTACAATTGCATGTAAGGAAAACGTCTGTCCCTGTTGCATACACATATATACATCACCTTGTATTTGGCATATAAATATTCGTTTTATATATCAAGATTTTAATATCGCACAGAGCAGCATTTCGAGTTAATGTCATAATCCTGTATTAATCCTACTTGATTCAACCTGTATTTCGTGGTTAGAGTATATGATTTGAGAAATGTGTCACCGCAATATATTAAACTATGACATAACCTGATCAATTTAATCATTAGGATATGTTTCACTATATTAGCATCTTACATTTATTCTTTCGATAATGAAATAAAATATATATACAAGTAAAGAAATAACTTGTCATTGTTTTTTTATAATTCAGATTTTTCATGAATGTTTTCTTTCAAAACTGTTGATAAAATATAAAACAGTGCTGTAGGACGCTCAATTTCAAAATAAGTACGAAATGAACAAAAGCGTAATATTCATTAAAGTTTGTTTAAGTTTGTTGCCCAAGTATTTCCCTATTAAAATGAGGTGATTTAATAAAGTAACATCCCTTTTGATTCCAAAGAATATATTCTCCATATATATGTCCATAGTTTCCGCCAATTTTGAATTAATTTCCAAAAAATAATTTGCAATTTAGCATTTCCAGAATAGGTGCTTTATTGTTTCCTCTTGTTTTCAATATTTACATTTATTATTAGTTTCATGTTTGTTCTGGGAAGAATAATAATTTCGAGTAAGAATACGATGTAAAATTTTATATTGTAAATTTATCATTTTGTAGTTCAACACGGTTTCCAAATTTCCAAAACGATTTGCATATCCTGCATTATTCCATTATTGGATTTAATGCCGGACTTTCATATCGTACTTTGACCAATAAATTATAAAAATCACGTGTTTTGCTGATGTAAAATTAAGATCATTTGCCAGCAACTTTGTCTTCCAGGATCTTGGAATTGCATGCAATATAGTCACATATGTTAAAAAGTTTACCCTAAC